CATTGTCCTAAAATTCCTTGAAATTTTTATGTATCCAAGACCTTAAGACCTTCCAGGTAATATAAGGATTTACTGTATAATATTTTCCTACATTGTACTAAAATAGATTAAAAACAATTCACCTGCATAACAATTCCACTCAATTGAACATATTATTTATGTACTAGGAATTGGAGAAGAAGGAGGATTTGCCCCTCAAACCCTTTTTCTGAATATAAAATTATATAAACCGTAAAAAAGTAAATAGAAAATAATAGTATTTCTTTCGATGCCTCCTAAAATTCCTGGCATAATTTCTTGACATTTTTTTTCAAATACCGTAACGTTCTCAACTGTAAATCACCGGACGAGCCCCCAAAAATGTAACGGGAAACCTATACGTTTCCACAAATCCAGATTCAGTGATTTACAGAAAGAAACACTTGTATAAAGGTTAACAAAGGTTTATTAAATAGAATGAATAAATAAATAAATCACAGTGAAGTACAATATTAAAAGTCTAGGGGATGGTGGATACCTACTCGCTGTAATGTCAGTCTAGTACTGTACTCTGGTCGTTTTAAACGTCACGGTGGTCAGACCGTCAACAGACGTACTGGCGTTGTCCAGAATGGCCTGACACACGCGCAAGGTTGGCAACGAACCCGACGTTAAATATTATACAATAATAACATAATAATAGCATAGTATTTACACAATACAATATTACAATTCATATTAATACATGTACATGACTAGATACATTGTAAGAAATAACAAGGATTTAATAACACATATATAGACACTAAAGTCATCCACATGTTTGGAATGCTTTTTACACATTGAAATATAAATTCGTTGTGATAAAGAATTTGATTTGTCCTACATAAGTACATGTTCAGGAACAGTTAAATAATTTCAATGTAATATTTTTAGGAACCTCAAAGGTTTTACACTATATATTTCTTTGCACCATGTTTATCTTTCAAAGGAGTTTATTCGATATATATACGATAAAAACTCTTAAGCACGTTCTTTTTTTAAATTAATATTAGCGTAGAACACGTAAGCCAAAAGCTGCAAATCGTCTAGCTCGCTTGTTATACGATTTGTTTTCTTATTTTACTCGACAAATATGTGTAACTTCTTGTGACATTGAATTTTAACTATCAAATACAGGTGACTCTCGATCTCTCGAAGTTCAAGGGACCGCGAGAAAAGTTCGAGAGATCGAGGGGTTCGAGAGATGGAAAGTAAATAAAATCCGGAATTTTCAGTTCCGATCATCGAAGTTCTACTTTAACAGATAACAGCCCTGGTGTCTGCAATCCTGGTCCCCAGCAATGGGTAAATTGCAACCCCCATGGTTATTGGATGGTGCCTCCACTGCATCATTGGACGGATGAGCTGCACAAGACAGCCAACGGCCAGGGCGGAGTAAGTCCCCTTGTGACCAAACGGCCAAGTGGAAAAGGAGAAAACCTCAAATCCGGAGTGGGGACCCGTAGGCGGAGCAGTGCTACCAGAAACACCGTTCCGGCATCTCCTGCAGCCAAGCTGGCGCCAAACGTCATGCTCTGCATTCCTTTGGATCCCGTCAGTAAGGCCGAGAGGGGGATCCTGACGACTGGGCCACCTAGGATCTCCTTACTGTTGGCCCAGGCTTCGTGCCCTGGAGAGGACACTCCAGCCCCACTGCAAAGTGTGGATACAAAACCGGAAGTTGTCAGTTTACGGGTTATAAGCCCTTCCAAATTGGCGTACAGGAAGGACGCCACGGGACAACTTCGACGGTGGGAGGGACCATCGTAGTCCTATCGTCCGACTACCGCCCGCCTCAAGCTGGGCAGCCCCCAGCCAATAAGGTGTCGGTCCGCCAACGTCTGTTGCTCCAGAGGGTGCCTGGAGCTAAATGTTAGCCAAACATGGAAAGCAGACGGAAACCTAGTAACCCAACAAATACAGCAAAACGAAATCGTCCATCTTGCGACTGGCAAGCTGGAATGTCAGGACAATGTGTCCTGGCCTATCTGAAGATCTCCAACAGGTTGATGACTCCAGGAAAACGGCCATTATCAACCGAGAGCTGAGAAGGCTTAACATTGACATTGCTGCTTTACAGGAAACCAGACTCCCATCAAACGGTAGCCTAAAAGAGGAGGATTATACATTCTTCTGGCAAGGAACGAACCAGAGGAACCACGTATACATGGTGTAGGATTTGCAGTGAGAAACTCTCTACTTTCATCAGTGGAACCGCCTCAAAAGGGTACACCCAGAATCCTGTCTCTTCGCCTCTCCACCTCCTCTGGGCATGTCAACATTCTGAGCATCTATGCTCCCACACTCAGCTCCACAGTGGAGACAAAGGATACATTCTATGAGGCGCTTGAGACTACCATCAGAGAGATCCCATCCACAGAACAAGTATATTTGCTTGGGGATTTTAATGCAAGAGTGGGAACTGACCAAGAAGCTTGGCCTCGCAACATCGGCCACTTTGGTGTTGGGAAACTAAATGACAACGGTCAGCGACTTCTTGAGTTATGCTCCTACCACGATCTGTGCATAACCAACACATTCTTTGCCACAAAGCCCCAACACAGTCTCATGGCGTCATCCTAGATCAAACCATTGGCACCAACTGGACCTTGTGATCACCAGAAGACGCTCACTGAACTGTGTCCTGACAACCCGCAGCTACCACAGTGCGGACTGCGATACCGACCACTCACTCGTTGGCAGTAAGGTGCGTCTCCAGCCAAAAAGGATTCATCGCTCCAAACAGAAAGGACGTCCACGAATTAACACAGCAAGGACAGCAATGCCAGATGTTTGCGCACGCTTTGTTGACTCTATTGAAGAGGCCCTTCGTAACTGCCCCACCAGCAGTGCTGATGAGAGGTGGAACTATATTCGTGACGCCATTTACACTTCAGCGATGGACACTTTTGGCAAAAGAGTGAGACAAAATCCAGACTGGTTTGAAGCAGGAATTACAGAACTCGAACCAGCAATCACAGCCAAAAGAAACGCCCTGCTCAACTACAAACGTGGTCCTTCAGAGAAGACACTTGCCGAACTCAGAAAGGCCAGAAATGACGCCCAACGGATAGCTCGACGCAGCGCAAACGACTACTGGCTGAATCTCTGTAAAGGTATCCAGCACTCTGCTGACTGTGGCAACATTCGAGCCATGTACGAAGGCATGAAGAAAGTTTTTGGTCCGAGCATCATCAAGACAGCGCCGCTGAAAACAGTCTCTGGTGACATTATCACTGACAGAGGAAAGCAGATGGAGAGATGGGCCGAACACTATCAAGAGCTCTACTCAAGAGAAAATGTCGTCAGTGTCACAGCTGTTGAAAATACCAATGCCCTACCAGCTATGAAGGAACTTGATGCTCCACCTTCAATAGATGAGCTCAGTAAGGCCATAAACTCCCTAGCCAGTGGGAAAGCCCCAGGTAGCGATGGTATTCCCCCAGAGGTCATCAAAGCGGGCAAGAGTTCCACTCTGTTACATCACCTGCACAAGCTGTTACTCCAGTGCTGGGAAGAAGGAACAATTCCACAAGACATGCGCAATGCTAGCATCATAACGCTCTACAAGAACAAAGGAGACCGCAGCGATTGCAACAACTATCGTGGAATATCCCTACTCAGCATTGTTGGGAAGGCATTCGCCCGAGTAGTGCTAAATCGATTGCAGAAACTAGCAGAACGAGTCTACCCAGAGGCGCAGTGCGGTTTCAGAGCAGAAAGGTCAACCATCGACATGGTTTTCTCATTACGCCAATTACAAGAAAAGTGTCGAGAACAGAGACTCCCATTGTACATTGCCTTTATTGACCTAACCAAGGCATTTGACCTGGTCAGTAGGCAAGGTCTCTTTACCCTGCTACATAGGATTGGGTGCCCTCCAAAGCTCCTGAGGATAATCTCGTCTTTTCATGAAGACATGCAAGGCACTGTCCAGTATGATGGTTCATCCTCAGATCCCTTCCCCATCAAAAGCGGCGTAAAACAAGGATGCGTACTAGCCCCAACGCTTTTTGGCATATTCTTTTCCCTGCTGCTGTCATACGCATTTGATCAGTCAGAAGACGGCGTATATCTTCACACCAGAAGTGACGGAAGCCTCTTCAACCTTGCGCGTCTCCGAGCAAAAACCAAAGTACGCAAGGTCCTGATCAGAGAGATGCTATTTGCTGATGATGCCGCCTTGACTGCACACACAGAGCAGGCACTACAACGACTCATCGACCGCTTTTCCAATGCATGCGATGAGTTTGCTCTCACCATCAGCATCAAAAAGACCAACATTATGGGCCAGGACGTCTGCTGCACTCCCAAAATCTCCATCGACGAACATATCCTTGAAGTTGTGGATTCATTCATCTACCTTGGTTCCACCATATCAAGTAACTTGTCCTTAGATACAGAGCTAAATAAGCGCATTGGGAAAGCAGCATCAGTAATGGCTCGGCTGGGAAAACGAGTAGGGGACAACGCCATGTTGACGAAAAACACCAGGATAGTGGTATACAAGGCGTGCGTACTCAGCACACTCCTGTACGGCAGCGAAGCCTGGACCCTATACTCTCGCCAAGAGCGTCGACTCAACACCTTCCACATGCGTTGCCTCCGAAGAATTTTAGGCATCAGCTGGAAGGATCATGTCACCAACAAGGACGTATTGAGACAGTCAGGGTTACCCAGTTTGTTTGCCTTGCTAAGCCAGAGGCGATTGAGATGGCTTGGCCACGTAAGCCGCATGGACAATGGCCGTATACCAAAGGACGTGCTGTATGGAGAGCTGGATCAAGACCTACAGGAAGGCCTGTTCTTCGCTACAAGGATGTCCTAAAACGTGACATGAGGGCCGGAGACATCGACCCGGCGTGTTGGGAAGCAGTGGCTGCTGACCGAAATCGATGGAGGCATGCTGTCAAGGCTGGCCTCCAACTCAGTGAAAAGAGGAGGGAAGAACAGTGGGATGAGAGAAGACAGCGCAGACGACAAAGAGTAGCTTCAGTCCCGGTACAGCCAAGCGAGCATTACATCTGTGCTAACTGCAACAAAGCATGCCGCTCCAGAATCGGACTTTACAGCCACAGCCGGCGCTGTCACTCAACCACAGACTGATGCCGATCCTTGGCACGATCTCCATTGTTATGGGTCAGAATAACCCTAAATGCCAGCAAAGATCAATCACACAGTTTAAACTTAACAATAATTTATTTACAGTAATATACAAATCATTAAGTACAAACTTAGCAAAAATCTAAAAATACATACATCAGAGTGTCCGTTGCTGCACAACAATGTCCCAGTGAAAATATATCCCAGTTATATCTCAATAGTGTTTATACGACAAAGTATTCACAATTATTGTATATCTATGCATTGAATTGACAGGGTATTTATACAGTATTATAAATCTAGAATATTCTAGAAATTGTAAATACATGATATTACTGGAAAGTTCTGGACATGCACAAAGTTCAAGAATGTTCTAGAAAAATGACCGAACATGTTGACCACTCTGGAATGTTCAAGAAACTTAATGTTACTAATAATATACAAGATGAAACAATACACATCTCACAACACCTCCCCCCTTAAAAAGTTTGAATGTCAATGAAAACTTATATTGTTAAAATGAAATATATGTACATCAATACAAAATCATATATGTTCACGATACTCTGGACAAGGCATCTGCAATAACATTGTCTTTGCCTTTGATATGCTTAATTGTTATGTTGTATTCTTGTAACAACAAACTCCATCTAGTCAGTCTTTGATTCTTGTTTGACAATTTATGCAAAAATGTCAGGGGGTTGTGATCCGTGTATACAAGAATTGGATGCAAAGTAACATTCAGATAAACATCAAAATGCTGTAAGGCTAACAACAAAGCAAGGCATTCCTTTTCAATGGTGGAATACTTTTGTTGACATTTTGTAAGTTTCTTTGAAAAATAAGAAACAACTCTATCTACCTTATCACTATGTTCTTGAAACAAAGCTGCCCCGATTCCAACATCACTAGCGTCAACAGTAAGATTAAATTGCTTAGAAAAATCTGGAGTTGACAGAACTGGGTTGCTCATAAGGACAGATTTGATTTTATGAAGGGATTTTTCACAGTCTTTTGTCCATTCAAAGTTAACCCTCTTCTGCAAAAGATTTGTAAGCGGACTAACTACTGAGGAAAAATTTGGACAAAATTTTCTGTAAAACCCAGCCATGCCCCAAAACCTCATTAACTCTTTCTTGTTTGTAGGAATCGGGAACTTTGCAATAGCTTCCACTTTAGCCATAATGGGTGTAACATAACCTTGACCTACTCTATGACCTAAATACTCTACATAAGCATGACAAAATTCGCTCTTCTCAAGGTTCACAGTTAAGTTTGCTTTAGCTAAAATGTCAAATAAAGCACGCATGATTCGGAGATGTTCGTCCCATGTGTCGCTGTATATGACGACATCATCAATGTAGGCCTCGCATCCCTCGAGGTCTTGAAGGAGGGAGTGAATCATCCTTTGGAATGTCGCCGGTGCGTTTTTCATGCCAAAAGGCATTACTTTATACTGATAAAGTCCATCTGGTGTAGCAAAAGCAGATATCCCTTTTGCTCTTTCTGTTAACGGCACTTGCCAGTAGCCTTTCAACAGGTCAAATTTACTGACAAATTTGGCGTTTCCAATGTTGTCAATACAGTCATCGATTCTAGGTATTGGGTATGAATCAGTTTTGGTAACAGAATTCACCTTTCTAAAGTCTGTACATAATCGGTACGAACCGTCTTGTTTTGGTACAAGAATACATGGTGAGCTCCAATCACTTTTACTAGGTTCAACAATGTCATTGTCCAACATGTACTGCACTTCCCTTCTTAGGTACTGCAATTTTATTGGATTCAGACGGTACGGATGTTGTTTGATAGGCAGAGCGTCGCCAACTATAACATCATGACAAGCTGCATTAGTTTTCTTTGGAACATCCGAGAAGATTTGATGATACTCATTCATCAAGTTTTTAACTTGTTCTTTTTGGTGAATGTTCAAATGTCCAAGTTTGGCATCAAAATCAGCCAAAATTTCTGAGTTTTTCAAACGAACACTCTGATTACAATCTTTCTCATTCATTTCCACACTCGTATCACTTTCAATACAATTTTGAACAGTCTTAGCATTGGCTAAAGTGGAAACTGGTTTTACAGAATTTCGGTCACACCTTTCAAAATACTCTTTTAACATGTTAATGTGACAAACCCGTTTCTCTTTACGTCGACCTGGTGTCTTAACTACATAGTTTACATCACTAATCTTGCTTTCAATTTCATAAGGGCCATAAAATCTGGCCTGTAAAGGATGACCAGGAATAGGTAAAAATACAAGAACCTTATCACCTGGCTTAAACACCCTATTTCTAGCATCTTTGTCATACCACATTTTCGTTTTCAACTGAGAACTCTTCAAATTTTCTTGTGCTAATTTACAAGCATTGTAAAGTTTTTCTTTGAAATCAGACACATAATCTAAAAGATTAAGATCACTAGTCTCAGTCAGCCACTTTTCCTTCAGCAATTTCAAAGGACCTCTAACTGTATGACCGAACACCAATTCAAAAGGACTAAACCCAAGAGACTCCTGGACTGCCTCTCGTGCAGCAAATAGTACAAGATGAACCCCTTCATCCCAGTCTTTCTCATACTGGTAACAATAGGTCTTCAGCATTGTTTTTAAGGTCTGGTGAAAACGTTCTAGCGCCCCCTGGGATTCAGGATGATAAGCAGTTGATCTATATTGCCTTATACCCAACTCATGCATGACTTGCTGGAACAACCCCGACATAAAATTTGAGCCTTGATCCGACTGAATTGCCTTGGGTGCTCCTACAAAACTGAAAAACTTGGTTAGGGCCTTAACTATGCTCTTTGCCTTTATATTCCTAAGAGGTATGGCTTCAGGAAATCGAGTGGATGTACACATAATGGTAAGTAAATACTGGTTTCCAGATCTAGTCCTAGGCAAAGGTCCTACACAATCCACCAACACTCGACTAAACGGTTCTTCAAAAGCTGGAATGGGTTGGAGAGGAGCAGATGGTATCTTCTGATTTGGTTTACCTACCATCTGACAGACATGGCATGACTTGCAAAACTTCGAAACATCCTTTCTTAGCTTAGGCCAATAAAAATGACTCAAAATCCTATTATAAGTCTTATTGATACCTAAATGACCAGCCATAGGTGTATCGTGGGCTAAACTCATGACATCTCGATGATAAGCAGCTGGGACCACTATCTGGTGAACAACACGCCACACTTCATCTGGAGAAGCGTCAGGTGGTCGCCATTTTCGCATAAGGATGCCATCTTTCATATAGAAGCATTCTCCAACTTTAATAGCCTCTTCTGGTGGAAGTGCCCTCTTACTAAGTTGAATGATATCTGGGTCTTTATGTTGTTCAGAGAGTAAACGTTCTCGGCTGAGGATGTCCTTGCCTTGGCTAACTAGTGGATGCAACTCATCATCCTCACCACCAAATTTTGGTAAAAATTCTTTCTTCTCTTGCTTCTTGATATTGTGTGGTTCCATGCTGGTTTGAGTGCCATCAAGGTCAGATAAGAAAGTGTCATTCAAATCAATATCAACAGAGGAATTCGTCTCGTCAAAGGCTTGAGTATGGTCTGCCTCCATTTCTCGTCTTCTGGCCATGGCTCTAGTAACAGCACAGGCTGGATAAATGTCATCATCTTCATCATAACACATGACATCTGGATTGATTTTCTCACAAACTATAGGATCAGGTACAACCTTCCCACCAGCTAAGTCGTTGCCTAACAACAAGGAAATGCCTGGAACGGGAAGAGTAGGTCGAACACCTACGATAACAGGTCCAGTAACTAAATCTGACTTCAAACTAATTCTATGCAGGGGAACATCAATGACGCCTAGCTCCACACCCTGTAATAAAACTGACCCACCAGTAGAAGTCTGCTCAGACAAAGGAAGCACGCCCTCTAACAATAACGTCTGTGCAGCACCAGTATCTCTCAAAATCTGGACAGGTTTTATTTCGCTAGAGTCACCGAGTGAAACAAATCCCTGAGACATAAAGGGCTTATAATCCTCCATAGAATCCATAGAACTGGACTGTGAACCCTGGACATCAGGAGTATCAGAACAAATCGAAACTAAGGCTTCTCTATCACCTCTAACTGCCGCACAAGCGTGTGGTTGAGTTTTATCAAAATCATTTTTTCTCTTGAGTTTAAAGCATTCACTGATCAGATGACCCTTTTTCTTACAATAACTACAAGTAGGAAGCGACCCTATTCCAGACGATCCTTCAACACGTCCTGGACCGGACTTAAAACCACCTTGGGATGGAGACTGGGAACTTGTGAAAGACTGAGACCCTGAACCACTCTTTTTATATGTGTCTGAATTGGTAGAATTACTGCTAGTCTGAGATCTTGAAACAAAATTCTTTTTATGAGACAGAGCATAAGTATCAGATATGACTGCTGCCTCTTCAAGAGTTTTCACATTCTTATCTTCTAAATGTGTTTTCAAATCTTGAGGAACACACTCCTTAAACTCTTCTACCAGGATGACTTGGCGCAAATTAGCAAAGGTTTTATCAAGTTTCTTAGATCTAAACCAGTGATCGAATAAATCTTCTTTCTCTCGTGAAAATTCAACAAATGTTTGATTATCAAACTTTCTATACTTTCTGAACTTTTGTCTATACGCTTCAGGTACTAATTCATATGCTTTTAATATTGCTGCTTTGACCTTCTCATAGTCTGAACTCTCAACTACCCCTAGTGCAGAGTATACCTCAGCCG